AGCGTGGGAGAAAAGACAGACGAAAATGTCGAGATTAGGCTGATATGAACCTTGTACAAGGAAATTCTAATCTGCGGGAAATGTGAACTCGTCGGCTGAGAAGAAGAAGAAGAAGAAGAAGAAGAAGAATGGAAAGAGATGAGGGCAAATTGTGAGCCAGAGACGACCAAGATTTCCCACTTAATCCTTGGCAGATTGACAAAGTTGTTGGCCAAACGGAGCTAAAGTGGAGCCAATGAGAGACCGATTTGTCAGTTGCAAGCTGTTCGAGGCGTCTTTTGACGTGAACTTCTGAGGGGAATGGAGCTGAAAATTGGTTCCTCCGAAACGCGCATAAAAAGGGCCGATTTGCGCCACGAAACGAGGTCGCCGATGGTGATGTGATGAGAAATGTATCGGGTTCTCGTTGCAGCTTTGTTGAGATTAGATAAAATAATTTCGAATTTTATTCCTTATTCGGCTACACTACTCATAATCATTTGAGTAGACAACGACCAAAATATGGCTTCTTAGAGGCTCGTCATGTCGATTGATATAAGATATATGAGGGTGAGTACTCCCATACTTGGCCGAAGGTGGTTGAGCAAATGCACATGTGCCAAGAATCACAGTCTTCAGCTGGCTTTAGAATTGTACCAGCAGCACAGGCCAGAGAGAACAGAGACAGATTTGTTGTTCTTTATTTCCGGTTGGCAAAAGAGGGCGATTTCGCTCAACGCAAACAACAAAGTGGCCAATCTACGCTTTTGTCATTCCTTCGAGAAGGCTGATGAAGCGATTCTAATGAGTAGCATTTAGACAGGCTTAGCAAGTTGCCTCAACACTTACGTCATGTTTGACGCTAGCTGGCATGACAACGAAGGAGTACAGAACAGGCCTAAAGTTGTCTGGCCGGATTGCAGTTGGGCGGATGAAAAAAAGTACTCTTTCAGACTTAATTTCACTCCGGGCAGCCTCAAGACTCGTAAAAAGGAGACGTTCTGAGAGGCGTCTGCAGTCGAGACGATGCAGAATGGATCTGTCGTAAGTCAGCCGCCATGGCAACCCTCAATTTTGCTAATTTGACCCGTGACTTGGGCAGAATGGACTGTAAAGGGGAATAGATACCCTTCGACGTCGAGCAAGGTATCAGACTTCGCGAAGCCTAGTCTCATTGGTCGGCCACAAGAAAAGGTTCCACAGGGATCTGAGTAAAGACCATATTTATGATGAAGTAGGACAAAGTTTACTTTGTCTACTCATATGATTATTAGTAGTATAGTCGAATTAAATAAGAAAGTAAAAATCACTTTAGTAACACTGAGCACAACACAAATGTCAAATCTCCGCATCGAAGGCGAAAAATTGGCCTTGTCTGCTCAAAGTTAGACGCAATGAAATATGGCGTTTCCTTCATATCATTGCATACAGATACAATGATCAGTCATTATAACACAGAAGCTCTACTTTAATAACTATTGAAGAGCTTGTAATTAGGCTTTCGAGACTACCAGTAGATTATAGATATAGGAAATGTATGCAACCTATTTCCTCATTCATCAATTTAACAAAATATTGTAAATATATTTCATATATACACACATTGTAGATACAAATATTGTCTGATTGTGAGGTAGAACAATGCCCAATGCTTTTTATTAACGTTTATATATTTAATCAATTTCATTTGTAATTGATTTAGTTTCTGGTTATTGGAACTAATTGCGCTATAATTACTTTCTATACGGACTAAGATATACTTAAAAATACTTTCCAAATTCTACCAATGTTACAAGTTGGGGAAAAACTTTCGTTGGATTCAGCCTTTATTTTGAATGTAAACTAAATTTTTTGAAGTTATTCTGGCAAAATATTTCTACTTCATTACGTTTCAGCATGTATAATTGGTTAATAGCATATATTGCTTACTAGTCAGTAGTTGTATTATTTTCGCCGTAAGTAGTTTCAGAGGCTATCAATATAATTTATAGGCAATAGTAGGTGCAATTATATGGCACCTTGATTAATAAAAATATAATTACTTATATGAATTTGAGGATCCTAAGATTATTAATTTACTAATTGAGTTCATAAGCAATATCATCATTTGTGATTACGGCAATAGCAATTGTGATTTATCGAGCTGCCCGCTTAGGTTATTGTGTGAAATTGAAGCATTCACGGCTTAGATCACTTTCTACGCAACCTCAACCACCAGACCTACTTTTAGTCCTAACGCCTAGTCACTTGACATGTGCCACATGAGAGCTAATGCTGCATTTCGGTTTTGTTAATTGCAGCATTGCATTTCGGACACTCATTTCCCACTCTACATCAATGTAAAATAGAATATTTATAATGGATAAAAATTAATTTATCCACTAATTTGATGCTGAATAAGCTCAGATTTTACAATTGGCCAAATTTTATTTCCCTTGAAAAAGTTGTACCTTCTAACATGGTGAAAAATTGGGTCTTGGACTATTTGTCCAGAATACGCTTTGGTTGGACGAGGAATTCTTCCGTTCAGAAAAAACGGCCAAGCCTGAAGGCAGAATTTTGATACGATTTGAGCCTCCGTAATTGTAGCTGGGCAGTAGCAGTTTGTGATAAATTTATAATTTGTGTTTTGGGAATGAAATAATTTCTTGTGAAGTAAATAGGATAACATTGATATAGTGATTTTGGAGTAGTTTCCTTGCGTAAATATAATCTCTGATAAGTTTACTTTCTGTATCTGCAACTTTTTCCTTTCAACATTCTTAATTATCGTCATTGTTGGAGAATGCGCTGGCCCTCCAGTGCTTTCAGAGCATCTCCGATTCATCAAATCGAGACCGGTTGCTGCTACCTCCAGAAAGCCAGACCCATACCACTTTAACGCATCCCGAAAATGTCACTTTTGTACTCAATTTCAGGCTCAGCCAGCGTCGCTGACCAGCAGAATGAGGAGACAGTCGCACTACAGTTCCGAGGGCACCCTGACGAATGAGGACTTTGACAGTTTCGAGCAAGTCCCTCTCGACGACAGTGCCATCGAAGGTGAGTATGAGAAAGCGGCCAATGCTGCAGCAGGTCTGGGTCGTGGGCAGCCAAAGGGACCGGCAGTACAGCCCACGAATGTGGGCATCAGACTCCGGACGAACCCATCATCGGTCGTCGAGATCATTCACGCACTCGGTAGGACTTGGGCAATAGCAGCTTCTATCCTCAATTTCTTACTTCCGGGCTTCGGTGAGCTTGCCTCTTATGGAATACCTGTTTACCCTCACTTTTTGCTCCATTTCACCCATTTCAACCTCGTTTTCGCAACTTGGTCGTTGTCATGGCGACTTTTATGAACCCATATTGTCCGTACTCTTTGGCCCAATCAT